CATACAGATTTAAAAAAAAAAATTGAGCTGGGTCACTGAGGGGCTCAGTCTTTTTTAGTAAAGCAGCTGATGCCTCATACCATTCTTCTTGGGTCTGCTTCCCCATCAACACTGGCTCTGACTGCCCCCTTGCCATCCAGCTTCAGTTATTGCCTTCCCATTGGCCAGTTATTTAGAGCTGAGAGACAATCAAGTTCTGGCCAATTCCCCTGCCCCAGAAGTGGGCAGGCAGGACATATCTCTGCCAATAGGCAGGAAGTAATCAGAACTGTGTGGTGTGAGATGTATCCAGAGCCAGTGTCTATGGGGAGCCCATATCCAAACAAAGAGAAGTTAAAATATATATATTGAGAGAGAGAGAAAAGAAAATCAGATTTTTAAATACTTATGTTTTAAAAATCTATTTATTTGTAAAGAACAAAACAACTAAACTAAATAACCCCACCTCAGAGCTGGGGAGAGTTGTGATTATTGGGCCTACAGACTTACCCTAATTATAAGAGCAACTATTTAAAAAAAAAAGTGAGTGGAATTTCATAAATTGCCACAATGACGTGTTATACAAAATTATTATTAAAATGTAAAATAAAAGACAAAGACTGAATTAATGTAATTTAAATTGAAATGGTTTTATGCGAGTCAAGGACTCTGTTAAAGTTGTCATAGAATCCTAGGATTAGAAGGGACCGCAAGTATCATCTAGTCCAGCCCCAATTAAAAGCCAGCCACCCAGACGGGGGTTCGAATCCTGGACCCTCAGTTTAAGAGTTTGATGTTCTGCCGACTGAGCTATCCCAGGCTGGCTAAAATAAAGGAGTAGAGAAGTGGAAATCAATTAACCAAAATCAGTATTGAAAATTATGTCTAATGATGGACAATATAATGAGAGGATGGACTATTGTGCCCAACACTCCATTTTGAGATTCTTAAAAAAAAAAAGCTTCACCATCGTGGGTGCCATCCCCGCTGTCTGTTGGGACCCCAGGCCTTCTTCATCCTGAGAGATGTCCTGACCACAGCAGGCCAGAGAGAGAGACCCAGATGACATCGCCATCTCCACCAGCTTTGTACAAATCCCAAACAACACCTGAGATGTGAGACTTCATATCCCCTCTGCTCTCCCCATGTGGCCTTTATCTTCCAGACCTTATTTCTTTTCATTTGTATCTTTCTCCTTTTTCTTTCAGTCTAATAAGAGACTGAATTAGCCAGCCAAGACTATGTTTTGCAACACTGCTGTAAGCCTGTGACCAGGCAGCTACATGCAGTGCCCTAAACAACCCAATGCTAGTACAAGTTTGCCAAGTCTTTGAGTAGCTGATAAAACCATGTGCTGGGCCTGTGTTTTCTAGCAACGAGGTTTCAAATGAACACGGCCGACAAAGGCTGCATTTTCTATCTTTGCTGTTCTTTTCTCTCTCCCCCCACCTTTTGTGTGTTTGTCTTGTTTTGTCATCTTGGGAAGCAGGATCAGACTTTAACAACAACAGCAATAATAGCTCCAGCCAGTGATGAGCTGCCAAAATCTTAAGAACCGGTCCCTCCTCACTCCACAAGGGGGTCGTGGCCTGTGCCCGCTCCCTGGGACTCCTGTCCCATCCAACCCCCCGCGTTCCTTGACACGCACACACACCCCGGGACTCCTGCCCCATTCACCCCCTTCCCTGTCCTCTGACTGCCCCCCGCCACACCATCCAACTCCTCCTCTCATTCCTGATGGCCACC